TTAGATAAAAGAAGTTTATATAAAAATCGTTTGGCTAAAAACTGATTGCAGCTTCTACTGTACCGTACATGGTGTTACATATGAGAGATATGTTTGGCAGACTAAATACGACTTTTACTTATCTATTTATTTTTGGACATTTCAGTTCATTCACTTTAGGTTCCGCCCGTTTCATGTAACACCACATTTTCAAAAAAAAAAAGAAGAAAACATTTAAATGAGGTTTGAGCAGCAGTCAGACTCAATGAAGAACTGAGTCCTCTTCTAATGTTTACAGACAGTATCGCGCACTCACAAGGGCGCGCGCACTGGGAGATTTTTAAAGGGGGGGGGGACTTAATTAAAAACTCTAATGGAAGCTACTCCGTCTGCATATCATTACTGCTTTGGTTTGCCGCGGTACACAAACAAGGCCTTCATTCACACTCCACAGATAACATATGCACAACTTTCGGCCTGTCATGTCAGGCGCACACGGCGCTGACGGGCTGCTGCGGGAGCGCCGCAGTGCCACCATGCACAAGTTTGATGACCCTGCTTGGTTCTCCCCTCCGGGTCAGTGTATACATGTCTGATGTGGTTGCGTGTCCGCGATGTGCTCTTTACACCCCTTGAAAATGATTGAAAGGCCTTTAACCTTAAGCTTTAACGCTATTATCCCTGCCTGCCACCGTCTTTCCACATACCCGTATGTGTGTTTAGCTGTAGGACGCTGCTCAGAGCTGCTCATTTCATTTAGCCAGTTGATTTCAACCCCCTTTAATAGCCTGTGATGCGTCTATGTGGCGTGGCGTAAAATCCCCCCTTCTCTAGGCCTTTTATTTACACTCATCCCGACTTTCAGAGGTCCCTGGTGCTCTCTTTCCCTCTGTGTATCAGGCCAATATACCATCAGTCATTCATCACCATGACATGGCACACATTTTCCGATTACGCCAGCAAAGCGTGACTGAAAGGCATGGTTACATGGAAAGTGACCCCCCCCCCCTCCATCGTTCACCAGCATCAAGACAACATTTTACCCTAAAACGTAATTTATGCCGAGAGCTTCTCTAATTGTGTCTTAAGGAAACAGCAGAAAGTAGAAACTCCTCCCTCTTCTGATCCCCCTTTGTGTGTGCGTGACCGTGCGTGCACGCGTGTACGTGTGGGGTTAAAAAATAGTTTAACTGGAGGTCGATTGTTTAACTGAAGTGCTTTCCTGTTGTCTGTGTGTGTGCGTGTATGTGTGTGTGTTTGTGTGCGCGCGCGCGAACAGGAGCTCCGTGACACATAGTGGAACAACAAAGGAAGAGGTCTCGCGCCCCGCCGCCCATTCATCCCTTTCTCTTGCGAAGTAATTCCCATTGATTCCTATTGAACGGCGAGTCGCGAGCCCCTCGGGGGAGAACCGTGTGATTTGTGAAGGGTCGCGAGGACAAGGCACGCCCCTCCTCGAGCCCGGCCATCTGCTCACCAAACACCACAACACCAACCAAGTACCAAATGGCTTCCTTCATCTCTGTCTCTGCGTAGTCTCTTAATTTCTCCGTTTACGTTCACTCATCTACTCCATCTCTCCGCCACCATTCCACCTCTCACTCCTTCATTTCTCTCATCTCTCTTGGGTGAGAGTAGGTGGCCTCCGTAGGTGGATCAAGGCCTACTGGATGCCAAATCACAGTGGAGGCATGCAACGGGTATGAGGTGGCCATATGGCCTGTGCGTGTGTGTGTGTGCGTGTGTGTGCCAAGAAATGGATGGATGGATGGCCGTCGTGGGAACCTCCACATCATCACCATCACACCGACCGTAAACATTAACGCACACATGCTGGGACTGCTGTAGGAGAGATAGATAGATTATCTCATTAACAGCAGCATTGTGATCAGGAGGCTCACCTCACCTGGGCCAGGAATATACCGACTTACACCATCTGTCAGCCTCATTGCGACACTCTGTGTAATCTGCATATACATTTATCATTTGAACTGGTTCAAACGTCAAAATGTGCCCTTCTATAGAATATACATGACATAAAAATACTGCCTGCTCCAGAGCTTGTGTTTAAGTAACAGGAAAAGTAAATGAATTAGTAAACAGAAAATAAAGCAATTGTTACCAGTTTCACACATTTCCAAAAAGTTAATTAGAAAACGTTTTATTTTTTATCTTATATTTTGTAACATAATGGTTATCGTACAATGTGACAAAGCACTGACAGAAATGTGAAAGTAAAGAAAAAATACCAGTGTGTGTGGGTGTGTCTGTGTGTCAGAACATGTGCCGCTATGTAGATATGTGAAGCTCTATTCACTCCAAATTATTATTATTACTATTATTATTGTAATAATTGGATTGTTGGTTGCTTTAAACAAGACATTTGAAGACATTCTCATAATTTTAGGGAATCTTATAAAAACATTTCAGTAACACAAAAATATTTTTCATGAAATATTGATATGAAATATTCAGATTTTTTCAAACAATATCTCTTTCATTACACCGAGTGGAATTTAATTTGTCTTTTTTGTTGCATTTTCTTGCATCGTTTTACAATAAAAATGTTTACAATCTTATGGGTGACCACAAAACGTGAGTTACAAATAAATCTACTCCAGAAATGGGACAAAGCCTACAATATCCTGCTATTTGCTGTTTGTTATGTTTGATGTAATGTTTGATTTATAAAGAGCAACCAAACAAACAAACAAACAACCCCTGCTTGCACTTTGAACAAAGTGAACACCCCCCACCAAAAAAAAAAAAAAAAACTCCCTCAGAGGAGGGGTTTGCCTTTAGTTTGAGAAGCACCCTCCAGCAGCAGCAGGATTAGCCAGGCCAGCTGCCCACGGAGACCATGAGCCCTGAACACTGACATCAGGCGTGACCCTAGAGTGGTGACTATCAGAGACCCTGAGGGGATCTGGACAGCACTGTGTATGAGTGTGTGTGTGTTGTTCATTCAGTTGGACAACTGTTGAGCCTGTATAGATTTTGCCAGCGGTGTTCTTTGTACGAGTGTGTGCGTGCTTGTATGGTCAATTCTTTCCGGGGGTTAACTGCTTATCCAGTACAAATGGGAGGTGTAGGGGTGGGGGCGCAGTTGTGTGCTCCTGGAACATCTGCCTCTGTTTCTCCTGAGTCAAGCTGTGGTCAGGAGAGGAGGGGAGAGGGGGAGGCAAAAAGAGGGGAGCAACTCAAGGGGAAAGACATGGAAGCAGAGAAGGGAGAGTCAGCGCAGAAGAATGAGGAAGCTGAAATTATCCAAGAGGCACAGGTCAAAAACACTGAGTGCTAAAATGGGGACTGGACTGGTTACTGTGTTTTTATCTACCTATCTAATTTTACTATCATGTTTAGGTACTACTACTGGGTTTATTATTGCCCGTTCAGTTCACAACAGTAACGGTAACAGTATATATGTGAGAGAAATTATGGAAAAGTAGAAATGGTCCACTCAATGCTGCTCACAGACTCATTCATTCACTGTCAGAATGAGCCACAGTAACCGGATGATATTAGTATGAGCCAGATTTGATAATACGTCAAGTTTTCTTATAATGGTTTTTATGGTTACATTGACCATTAGAAACAGCAAGTGTGAGAAAGAGATAGCTAAAGCCTGAAAGAGTGAGTAGGTGGGTGAATGTGCTGCTTCAGCGCAGTCTCTGTTTCACCGCTGCACAAGTTAATATTGTTTACACCTGGTCTCATGGCTTACTTCAGGTTAAGGCACAATAATAACAATAAAGTTAAATTGCGTAATGCTCTAATTTATACACTGATTTGTAAAACTAATGTGAAAATTACAGGCTGATTGGACTATTGTGATATTTAGCTTGATTTTGTGTCATTGATGTAGCTGACAGTGTCAGTGATGTAGTATTATTATCTGTGATGTTTGTCTGGAGGCATTCATATCGACACCTTGAGTTACAGGTCATAAACATAGACCTAAACCAAACCCTTGCAATGCTGAGAGTTTAAAATGTAGCACATTTCTTCAAACCCACAGTTAGCAGATGTCGCCCTTATAAAACTTTCAAAGATTGTAGAAAAACAGTACAAAGACCTATTAGATCACAGAAACTGTGTGTTACAGGTTCTCACACATAAACATTTGATCATTTTTGTGCTCTTCTATGAAAGTAAACATCTTACATTTTGGGTTTGGTATGCTGACCCATTCAGGGAACATCACTTTTTGTTTTTGGTCAACTAATGTATATAAATTAACTGTAATGAAGCACTGAGACATTTTCATGTAATTCAGTCTAAAAAATATATCTTATCATTTGACTTGTCCTGTAATCTGTTGAAATGCTTAAAAGATAAAAAAAAAAAAAAAAAAGCTCAGGAATTCTGAACAATAATCTGCAGCAAAAAGCTACAGACTTAAAACAAAAAACGAATAATTAAATGAATAAATAAAAAGGGATATGCTGCCGTCATTTTAGCTCCAGGTGCATTTGGGAAAGGTGCCCAGAGCCTGTAGGCCAAGTTCTGGGTGACATCAAAATGCCTTCACAAGCCCAAAGGTCATAACTCTCGAGTGGGTGATTGGAAATGAAAGTGGGCAGATTTACAACACAGCTCCTCCCTCCTTGAAGATTAGGTTTTGGGGTTTTTTTTCTGGAAAGCGTAGATTATTGTCCTCTCAGTCCACAGAGCATCTGGCTGTAGAGCGACAGATGCTGACAGCTGCACTGACGGCCAGCATATGTCCCCTCCTTTTATTCCTGCTCTGGTCACACAATGGAGTGGAAGGTACCGGGGGCGCTTTGTGTGGAGAAGGTAGACCTAATGGCTTTCAGCAAAAGACTGCCCACTCTCCAGGAGAGCAATTAGCCCTCCTCTTATCCTGTGCTGGAGTGAAGTCTTACGAGCCCACACAAACACAAAGGCTCATTCTCATTCATGACATTCAGGATGTTCGCTAGTAAGAAGCGCCGTGCCACGTTTTTATTTTTTTGTCTCTGCTCACTCTTTGTTTTAATGAATGCGCGGTGGTCTCCATGCGCCGAGCACGTGCATTTTGTTTTGTAACGTGATGACGCCACGCGTAGATTATAGGAAGTAGTTTGAATTTACACCAAGTAAACACAGCAGGGACCAATACTACTCAGTGTCCAGCGAAATTTCAAAGTGAGTTTTTCTTTCTTCCTTTTTTTGCCATGTGAAGCGATACTAGAGTAGTTGTAGTAGCATTTGCTGTGACGTATCATCCGTGATACGAGTTTGCTGGCAACGGCACGAAACGGGGCTAAAAGCGAAGCTAACAGTTAGCATTCGTGTCAGTTCTCATTAAAATCAACTCCCCACAGTGACGGTGTTACACCAAAACAGATCCACCCGATTAAAAGTTAAAGTACACGCTATTTGGAAAGACGTGAAATGCTTCCTCCCGTAGCTCCCTGTGTGTTTCTGCTCAATAGGAATGGGCGTGAAGGGTCTACAGTACTTCATGGACCGCTGCTGTCCAGAGGCCTGTGTGACAGTGAACCTGAGAGAGATGGCCAGACAGCAGCAGGCCTCCGCAACCGCACCTCACACCAGCAGTTGAGTTTATTTCTGTGTGCAGCCAGTGTGACAGTGGCTCTGTGTCATTCATGAAATGGTAATATTAGCAGACTCCCCCAGAAGCTCCAGCTTTCTCCACTGGTGTGCATGATTATGTAAAGTAATGTGAGGAAACAGCTTTTCAGCTCTCAGCTTTTCAGATGTGTGTACAATATTTGGCTTTATTAACCTGTTAAAGCAGTGGTTCTCTATTTAAGGATGCAATTTTTTTTGGAGTAGAGCAAAGGTGGAAGATCCAAACACAGATTTCAGAGACAGACTTGAAAAGAAAAAAACGAACCCTTTATTATGGCTGATAAAGTCCAAAAGCAGAGGAAAAACAGAGTCCTGACATCCAGGCAACCGAATTGAAAATGACAAGGGACCAGCGAAACGCACACAAAGACAGCAGTAGGACACAACATAGTTTAACTGAAATACAAGGGGTATAAATACAGACAGAACAATCTGTGGGATAACAAGGAGATTGGAAACAGGTGGGTAACAAGAAACAGGTTAAACATATCAATGAGACAGCGAAAGTAAAACCAAATATAAGACACATTGGACAAGAGACAACCAAAAACAAACCAACCCAAAACTGGAATAACATAATAATAATAATGAGCCTATAATAAGCCATAATCACCCTAACTCAGAGATGGAGACTTAACAAATCCAGGAAGACACCAGGCAATCCAGGCTAGTTAAAAACACAAGTGGGCCATGGATGACCAAACTCCCATACTGCAAAGCAGTACTAGTACTACAAAGGGGAATCACTTCTTACCTAGGTAGATCACCATGGTAACTTATACTGCAAACCTAACTTGCTCTGGAGCAAGTCTCAGAATAGAGATCGAGGGATATAAAAGTCAGTTCCCTGCAAAATAGTGCAACCATTCTTGGAAGATCCCTTGGTCTTCTGTTATAAAATTCCACCATTGTGTCTCCTCTTATATTTGAGTCAATTTAAAGGAGATGTTTATCCAAATGATCAAAGCCAATGGCAGCTGCAAGGAAAACTGTAATTAAAAACTGACTAAGGACTGAAACACCCACAAGACAGTGATTGAGGAAAAAAGTCATAATAACTTTAATTATTAAAATAAGCCAACTTGCTCCAACATTGCTGGCTTGGAAATGTTCTTATGATTATATATAGAGAGATTTTCTTTTAGCTTTTGGCTGAAGGAAATAGTTTGTTCTGGCTTTTGCCTAATCGTCAGTTTTAATGTTCTTAATGTTTAAAAAAAGCAAAATAAAACATCTATTTAAAAAACTAACAAAACTCTGTGGCTTGTAAACGAGACAGAGAGAACACTACAACAACATAGGTGGTGGACAGGTGCGTGCAGTTTAATGAAAGTACTGCTTCATCAAGTAAATACTGTTTACACCTGTTCAGTCTTTATTTCAGGGCGTGACATGGTAGTAACAATAGTTATTATCATGCTTGTACTTACAGATGTATTTGAAAATGTGTAGTAAAAATTATGGCCTACTGACAGAAAAAAATATTTAGCTTAATTTGAAGTACATGTTTTCCTAACAGTAATTTTAATAGTATAGTATTAGTTGTGATATTTTTAGCTGTTTTCTGGTGGTAGTCATATGTACACCTTTGCTTACTAGTCATAACAACAGACCTAAACAAAGGCCATGCAATGCTAGGAGTTTAAAAGGTAGCACTTTTCTTTAAACCCATACTTAGTATATGCTATGCCTTTAAGCATGTTTATTCGGTGGATTGTAACACAGTACAGTGTAGTTGGTGGAAGCTAAAACAGTGCTTTTAATGGCATCTCTAAAACTTACAGAACAGGACATGTTCATGTTCCTTTGAAAATATCTTATGACTTTCATATGCTTCTACTTTATTTTCCCATATTGGTTTACTGTACTACTATGTGTATACCCACATCAGCAAGAACCAAGGCAGACAGTACACAATGGTGATCATTGTCTGGGTTATCATGCAGGTCTGCTGTATGTTACATTTTGATTTCACTTACTTGCAGACCCCACACTTGTTGTGGATGGTATGGCCTGCTTGCGCCACTGGTATTCATATAAGGACTGGGCATGTGGGGGCCAGTGGAGGGAGTACTTGGATATCCTAAAGAGATGGGTTGAGGCATTTACGTCTGCAGGCATCCGACTGGTCTTTTTCTTTGATGGAGTAGTGGAGGAGCAGAAGAGGCAAGAGTGGGTGAGAAAATAACCTTAATAAATAACACCTTGGCAGGTTTCTACATACCTCAAATTGTCAGTGGTACAAGGGGTAGCTAAGTCACAAAATGTGCTACAAAAACATCATAAAATTTTTTATATTGGTCTCTTATTTTTGCGTGACTACAAAAACCCTTGGTTCTGGTCTACAGGTGAAGAGGAGACGCAGAGTGAACGGGAAGATTTCAAAGATATTTTGTCACATAAAAGAGCATGGAGATCAGCCGGGTAGAGAGCTTTTTTGTCTGCCCTCGGGATTGGCGACATTCACACCCTTTGCTCTCCGGTTTGTTTGCAAGACAGGACAGAATATATGCACCATAATTATAAAGCCAGTAATTCTAGTTCTTATACATTTGTTTTGTTTTGTTTTACAGGTCATTAGGTCAGGAAGTGTTTTGCTCAGTGCGGGAGGCAGACTATGAGATTGCCAGCTATGCTCGCCAGCATGGCAGCATGGGTATTCTGGGAGAGGATTCAGACTTCATCATATATGACAGGTTTGTAAAATCAATCTCATAATTGCAGATTAACTTAATTTTATTGACAAATGTGGTCAAACTGTCTGATTGGAACATTTTGTTTTAACCCTTATCTCTAAAGTGCCCCTTATTTGTCTGTGGCAAAGCTGCGGATAAACAGCCTCACCACTGTCATGTACGACCGACAGAGGCTCTGCCTAACCATTGGACTGGCTGTTACCCAGCTACCGCTGCTGGCCTGTCTCCTGGGTAATGATGTGGTGTCAGAGGAGAAGATGCGTGATGTCAGGAACAATGCGATGGCAGCTTACAGGTGCATATCTGCAGCCGTATTGAATAGAATTAATAGAACATTGGATTTTTCAGTCTTATTTACTACTAAATCAAAGCTATATTTGTTGCTGGCTACATTTATGTCTGTGAAGGTTCTCAGTCATCCAGGTCATCGTAGTCAAAGGAGCTTGCAAAGAAAAGCGTCTGGACTTCTTTAAGTTGCTTGAAGATGTTTCACCTCTCATCCGAGAAGCTTCTTCAGTTCTAAGGTCAAATGGTGGAGAGTCCCAGATATAAACCTAGTGGGAGTTTCCCCCCACAGAGGGACAAAAGGACCCCCTGATGATCCTCTAATCGCCTGAGCCAAGGTGTCTTTCGAGGATGCCAATGTTCACATTTTGGACAGAGAGGACAGATGGTTTGAAAGGGGAGTGAAAGAAGCCATCTATGTCCACTGTGAGTGACCATCTTTGAACAGAGGCGGGGGTTTACGACACCAACTCTCTGCCATCTATAATCCAGTTTTGAGTTCCCTTCCCAGACGCCTTAACGCCCACTCACATCCTGGGCCATCTGACCTCAGGAATTCGCATGATAAGGTGGGGCCAGGTTTCACAATGAACACACCCGAAACTCTGGCTGATTGGGACCCACACCCAGTTTCACACCTTGGCTCAGGCGATTAGAGGATCATCAGGGGGTCCTTTTGTCCCTCTGTGGGGGGAAACTCCCACTAGGTTTATATCTGGGACTCTCCACCATTTGACCTTTGAACTGAAGAAGCTTCTCGGATGAGAGGTGAAACGTCTTCAAGCAACTTAAAGAAGTCCAGACGCTTTTCTTTGCAAGCTCCTTTGACCTGGCTACATTTAGTTACATAATATACCCTTTTTATGTTAAAGAGTTCCTTGACTTCATTCTCTAAGCTTTTCTTTGACAGATTTTTTTTCAGTGTCTGTTTAAAAAATACACACTTATTAAAAATAATAGTAAGTGTGAAACCTGTGGACTTTGAGATCATAAGCATGTTTAAGTTTGTTTTTCCAACACCTCAGCCCTGCACTTAAATGCAAGTTCAGCCCACTCAGGTTATCTTTTCCTTATCTTGCTTCACTTACCCTAACATCAGCAATCAGGCTAAAGTGACACATGAAAGTGGTAATCCCAAGGTTTCCTAACTTATCTTTGAGCATGTTCACGTGAAAGGGATGGACTTAGCTCCCCTCTAATGTATAATCCTAGAGGGAGCAGAGTGACTGATTATACAAAGGATAAAAATATAATTTGATAAAAATATTAAGAGCAACAGAGCTTCAGTAAAAAAAAAAAGTGCTCTAAAAATGTATGTGGGCTTTATGTACTATGGTCAGGGAAACTGTAAGAGTCTGTCTGGTCTGTTCGAGGCCAGGAAGGAAAGCCGGAAAAATGCAGTCTGTGTGAATAAATGCACTTATCAGTATCACAGCACTATCATTAACACACGGCTCAGCAACTCTGGCAGGTTTCGGTTGGATGATGCAAGTAGAAGAGCAAATATGAAAAAAGAATGCATGCATAGACTTACTTTACATTCATATTGGATGTTCAGCACACAGTTATGAACAGTTGTCCAAAATTGATCTAAAATTTCATCCAGCCAACTGTGAAATAAAAAAAGGAATAACATGTAGGAAGACCGTGAGTGGTGATGCTATTTTCAACAGAACTGGTTGTTCAGTATTTCATATCTTACTGTCAGCTTAACATGCTTCAAAGCAGGTTAGGTCTGCTGCATTAAGTTACCATGGTGAGCCACCTTGGTAACCCTAGAAACGTGACGTTAAACCTGAAGTTACCTCAATAAGCCTGTGGTGATAGATCTTTTAGAGCGGTGGTCCCCAGGTTGTGGAATGCTCTCCCTCATTACGTTGCCTTGATTGTGTTTATTCTTTTAAAAAGCAGCTTAAGACTCATTTATTTAGATCGGCTTTTAATTAGATTTGTGCTGTTTGTTTTATTATTAATGTATTTTATGTATTTCTGTTTTATATTACTGTAAAGCACTTTGTGGTTTTTATCCTGTGAAAAGTGCTATATAAATCAATTGATTTGATTTGATTTAAGCCCAAATCCTTCTTTATTATACAGAGCTCAGATCAACATGCGGTACCAACCCATCACTCTTTATTTTTGTCTGCAAAGAAAAACACTCATCTTGTTTGCGTTTGTCAATGAGCCAAAATAGTTAAAATTCTTCATTTTATTGTTCCCAGGAAAAACAGTCCTGCACCACATTATGGTGCTCCGCAGGGGCAGGTGGTGCTAGCAGTGTCCCAACTTGTGCGCTCTCTGTGGAGTACAGAGGACGAGGAAGCTGAACTGGTTCCACAGTCTCTGAATCTCTCGACTCCTCGTAGAGAGCTACTGAAGAAAGGTGTTTGCTTATACACACTACCTGGACAGAAACGTCCCGAGCTGTGTGAAATCTCCTCACTTCCCTCTGCTTTTGAAAAATATGTTAGTCCAGAAATCCTAAAGGTATGTTATAGTCATATATGTGATTTTGTTCTTTAGAGCTCCCTGCAGACTGGAATAAATGTTTCTTTACTGTGTGGTTTTCCACAGGCATGTAGAGAGAAGCATGCAGCAGCAGAGGGTTTCATGGTTTACACTGTCTTGTGTGTGGGTGTCACTGAGTGTAGCAACACTCTGGAGGATGAGGAGGACACCGAGTTAGTGCCTCAAGCCCTCGTCTACAAACCCTGCAGACAACTCATCTATGGTCTCCTCCTTCTGCTTGGTCACAATGGTAAAACAGTTAATACATAAGACAATGAGAACAGAAGCATACACGAATGAAAAAAGTCAGCAAGAAATGCCAAAAACTACAGTTTTTCTAGTGGTGAAATGAGTCTGACTCCAACAGCAATTTAATCCCCATAGACTCCAGTGTTAAAATACCCAGAAAAAACAACATATTATTATCCTATTAGAACTATGCAATGAGTTAGTTATTTATTATAATCATTTGAATTTTGCTTAAAAGGTTACAGGGATACTCACTTTGGCTAAGAGGCGTGTTGATAGCCAGTAGGTGTCTATCAGGTCTTATTTTCCCAACTCACCAAGCTGGAACTTTCCATTCATATTTGTGCCTTTGGTCTTTTTTTTTGATCAATTAAATGTAATTATCTGATAAATATGGCCTGCTCAGTAATACAGAGGCCCAACTTTTATTTTGAAGACAAACTGCCTTTGTTTCGTGGTTAGTTTGCAAGCATTTGCAGTCGGCAATTTCAGCATCCACCACTGTTGACGTCTTCCATGCAAACTGTGGGCAAGTGCAGCAATCTGCTAGTGACTAAAGCAATCAAAAGGAGGTTTTTGGTGCAGCACCCTTTTTGTAACGGATTTCACCTGCCAGTCAGGATATACACTTAGCAACCAGTTACCAGGGGGTTACCGATTGGTTTCTAAGTCTGTTGAGGTCTCATTTAACATTAATCAACAGACATCTGGGTCTGAGTGATTTCACAGTGGCTTTGTCTGTCTTCATATATAGTCTGTGGTAGACGCATGTAGATTCTGGCAACTTCAAAAATATATCTTCAGTGGAGAGGCAAAGGGATTACGAACCGTGCAGACATACACACGTCAGCGGAGTTTGTGCCGTTAGTTTTTATGTAAAGTGAGGAGAATGATGATGTTCTTTGCAGGAAATCGAGTAAATCTAATCCAAGCATAACCCTGACAATGTTGTGCTTTTTCAGGAAGGATTGTGGACCCTCCAGCAATCAGGGAATGGTTTGTCTTCCCCGGAAACCCTTTGAAGGAACCTGATATCGTCCACCCTCTCCCAGTCAGCCTGCCCTGTACTGTACCTTCTGTTTTTCATATACTTATCTCTGTATCTTTGGACACAAAATAAAACACGATTTCAGTACAGTTACACCACCAATACAAGATTTTATTTGATTTATTTTTTTAATCCCTGAGATGATAAAACGACAACTATGTCCATGATTCTTGGTTTATGCACTATAGGACTAAATTGCTCCCAAATAAGCAGCAACCAAATGAGTCCTGTGGTTATAAGTGATTGTTTCCTGGGAATTATGTTTTCTCTGTAGTTAAAATCATTGTAGACTAACCCCGAGGCACCAGCGGCTTTAAGACTCACGTTGAAAAGCTGGCTCTGGTTACGTTTAACACATGAAAGAGATATTGTGCCATATTTTTCCATCTAAAATCCATAGTATTTTTCTCTTTTGCTCGAATCTGTAGGTGATCAACCCAGTCTGGACTTGTTATGGTTTAGCACGGGTCCTGACGTGGCTGCTCTTCGCCTGACAGCCTTCCTCACAATTTTTGGCTGTCCTGAGTTTTCGGAGCTGCATGGAGTTATTGAAGACTCTCTCCTGGCTGCTCTCTGCCTGGTCACATATTTAGTCCTACAGGTAGTGTAGATGCGTTTATCTGGTAGCGATCAGAGAATGAAAATAGTTAATTAAGTTAATTAAAGTTATTTAAAGAGAAAAAAAGCAGAAATATTTGTATGATTCTCTGGGAAAAGGATGTGATTTAATTATTAATGAATCAATAGCAAATGTAACTTATTTTTATTTGCAAATAGGAAAAAATCGAGGTTCTTTTTGTTTGTTACACATGTTTTACAGTCTTCTCTGGTGTCATGTTGATCGATTCTGCCGCACAAAACATAAAAATAATATTAACAGCTGTACTTTACAAATGATTGCATCTGCAGCATGATTGGTCTTTCCTCTTTTGGTTGTTATTGGTCAGGGCGCATGTTTGGCTTGGGCTCCGGTTAAGCTGTTAGATGAAAGGGGATGATACCTACAGCTGGCGGTTCATGTAAACAAAGAAATGAAAGACAAAATATGTTTGATGACAGTTTAACGTACGAGTCAGCTTTTGATTTGGGATTTACATCTATAACACGTACACAACAATTATTCTGCTCTTTTGTCACCGTGTGATGTAAAGTCAAACATCGCTTGTTGATGGCTTGACGGTAACCATTATCATTCACTGGGGGCCCAGTTTAGACACAGACACCGGCCTTTGTAACTTCAGCTCTTACGTCAACAAGTCCTGATAACCATCCAGGGGCTTTGAATAACTCAGGAGACAATTCTCAAACCACCTCAGAACTCGTATTACTGTATTTTGATTGTAAATCTAAGAGTGTATCAATCTGAGCTGCTTTTGATCCTGTTGTAATGCCCTGTGATCACTAATTCCTATGTGAAAGAAGCCGAGATTTGTGCTTTTGGTTTGGGTATTTTGCATTGACGTCTTCTGACTGAGCTTTAACACAACATTAGATCGCGTGACAGGATAACCGTGTGTGCGTCATGTTATAGAAGCGAAACATAAATTATACCTTTTATTAACTCTTTTTCAGAGACACTTGAATCACTTATTAATGCGTTTCTAACAAAGATACATTTTCAAAGAAAAGCTCAGATGTCTTGTTTTTGCGTAACATGTTATTTGCTGTCTTAAAAGTATGCTTAAAGTACTGCTTTCTTTTTTCTTTTCTAATACATTTAACACACGCCAACTGAAAAACACCAAAAGTTCGGTCTAGATTTAGTCTTATTTAGATCGGAGTAACTGTTTCCTCATGTTTGCCCCACCTGGAGAGACAGAGCTGAATGCTTTAATACTAAAATTGACAGGCAGCCTTTCAGACTGGTTTTCAGTCAGGCGCTGGCTGGCTGGCAGGCAGTGATTTAAATGAATGAAGGCCCTGACAGACAGGACAGTAGCTTGTTAGATGGAGGCTAGACGAGCAGATGATTAAAGATGAGCAGACAGCATGACAGACAATAGTAGCTGTTGTCTGATCACTGCAGCATTCAGATTCCCCTCTCGCTCTTCTATTTAAATAACTTCAGGGTTTGTTTGTTTTGTACACACAACTGGGCAGCCTTGTCTCTGTAGCGGCCATTGTTTCTTTTTGTGTTGACTTGTTGCACAGCGAGCAGACAAAACAGACTGACCCACAAAGAAGACACACTGGGATGTGATTGAACTGACTAACCACGCATTTTCCCTTGTGTGTTTGGTTTGTGCGCATGTTTTCAGGTACAAACTTTATCTCTAGAAGACGTGGATTCCTACCTGAGTCAAGCTGTGTGTCTGAGACTGAAATCCTCTCAGGAGCTTCAACAGATCGAGGTCTGTCACAAACGCATTTAGATCATTTGTAAAAGATGCTTTTGATATTTTATAGTTGTTTTCAGATTTTCACCCCCACGTTTTTTTAACGGTGAAGCCAAACATTGTGTATCCCGCTGCAAGAAGACAATGTTCGCTGACGTTTACAGTAAACAAAGTCCTCTTGGGGTAAACACAGCTCTCAAAATGTTTCCATTAATAGAAAGTGAAGAGAAAGTGGAGAGAAAACATAAATAAGCTGCTGATTGACGGTCTTTCCAAGAAAGCATACAACAATCTTGAAAAAATAAGCAGTTATGATAAACTGCAGGGTGTTTTTGTTGTTGGAAATAGAAATTTTGAACCTTATTTTTAAAATCCGGTCGTCAGGAATGTCTTAAAAGCGCACATACACTGGTGGATATTTATTCTTTTTTGCATTTTCTGTGCAATTAAATTTATGTAAAATGTTTATACTTGCTTAGCTAACAATTTAATTGTCCAGGATTTTTAAAGTTTACTTTCATTGTTTAGTTTTGAAACTATAAAAGCCACTCAGTTTGGGCAGCTTTATTTTTTTGCATTTTAATTGGAAGGCTTGCAGAGTAGATGGAGGAAACGCATGAAAAGAGGTCCACAACATAACACAGAGGACATTGTGGTTAGGTAGTATGAACCTGACCCACAAAGGTCACACCAGAAACACTTTCATTTTTAAAATCCTCTCCCTGATTCTCATTTACACAGGATCGTCTTAAGATCAAAACTTGGTTTTCAAATACTAGCATCCCCAAAGCAGCATCATTATGCAGAAGTTAAAGAAAACTGAACCTATTATTGCTAATTTCCAGCTCCTTACTCTCCACAGCACCAGAGTCAAAATAATCCATGCCTGTCTTGGATTAGGCCTGGGTTCAGCCCCTGTGTCTGAAGTACATAAGAATATCCCCTCTCTTTGACATCATACAGAGCCAAAGCATTCAGAGCAGTGTGAAGTGTGAGGTTTTAGCTCACAGGGATTATTTGTACACACACTCACATCATCATTTGAAACTTTAGGCATGTTTAAGTCCAGCATCCACCATTGAAATTTTATAAATACACTATATGGATAAAAGTAATGGGCCACTTACACATTACACCTACATGAGCTTTATGGCATCCTATTCTAAATCCATAGGCATCAGTATGGAGTTTATCCCAGTATGAAGTTTATCCAATTTTGCAACTCTTACATCTTCCGCTCTTTTGGAAAGGCTTTCTGCAAGATTTTGGAGTGTGTCTGTGGGAATTTCCCCCCATTCAACCAGAAGAAAATTGATTAGGTCAGACAATGGTGTTGGATGAGAGGTCCTGCTCGTAATATCTGTTCTACTAAAGGTGTTCAGTGGGACATGCAGCTGGAAATTCATGCCATGAAGCTCCCGCTGCACAGTTGTTGTGCTGATGTTAATGCAAGATGACAGACGGTCAGACACAAGAATGACAAATCACTCTGTTCAAGGGTATTTTTGCTTGACTCTTCTTGTCAAATTTATTGTTTAAAGAGTTTTCTTATTGTTTATTAGAAATATCCACCATTGTAACAATGAGTACATGGCTTATTGCACAGGAAAAGCAAAATCGTTTAAATTTAAATTTGAGATGATTAAGAACGATACATTTTTAGAACAGATTGGTATAAAAACAGAGTGAACCAAAGTCCTCATCAGACATGTATTAACAAGGCAGTGGATACTGCTACTTTATAATTTCAGTCTTCAGTGAAGGGGCATCGTGGGACTTGTGAGTTCTCTCCGATGCGAGCGTCTGAGAGTCAGCTGTGCATTTCCATTCTCTGGGAAAACGACCGTTGTGTTTGCTGCCTCTTTGTAGCCCCATTTATTTTTACTGCTTAATTACCATACTTATGTCTAGTAATTTGTATTTGTGCTGCTCATCTGTTTTCTACACAATAATTAGGGCTGGGCGTTGATTTGAATATGTCGTATGGGAGAGGTTCAGAGCTGCAGGAGGGGTTTTAACTGAGTGACTAGTGTACGGATTAAATATGCAACACAAACAGACAAATTGTTATTGATGTGCGTATGGTATTCATTTTTGCAAGTTCATATCTGTGTGTGTGTGTTTGCACAGTTTACAGACAGCTACAGATTCACATACATCACACATCACAGCAGGAAGTAAAAATCACAAAGATTTTCTTTATTGAAAGATTAATTTATGAGAGAGAAGTGTCTGTTTGTGAAAAAGTGTCACCCAGTGTGTGTGTAGGAGAGAGGGGCTGTGGGTCATAGGTTTTTGGATGCGTTGGTTGTGTTGCAACATTCCTCCCCATGGGACAGTGATTTTGGCGTGTGTGTTTGTGTGTGCGACAGAGAGTAAGCTGGCGACAGTCGCCTGTCTGTCCTGGCTGACGCTCACCACATGGAGCTATTTACACCATGCACACTCCGCCCCACTGGACACACACATGCACACACACATTTCTGTCTTTGTCTCTCTGTCTTTTGTGTGTGTGTGTGTTCTCACGTTCTTATCCTTTTTGCACTCGACCACTCTTTCTCTCTCCCTCGTGTTGCTCTGTATCTCTTTTCTGTCTTTGTGTCTGTGTGTGCCTTCAGGCTTGTGTGTCTGTCCAGTGTTTCATTGTTTTCAGAAGGTGAAGCTGTGTTTGACTGGAAGCAGGTGGCAGGCAGGGATGAGTGTATGTGTGTGTCTGTGTACACGTAATCACTGTTATCAGTGCTATCTGAGGGACAGGTGAGAGCAGACACACACACAGAACATCTGCCTGCTGTTACAATCAGCTTGTGCTCCACTTCTTCATCCTCCTCTTATTCTTTATTCTTCTCCCGCAGTTTGTTTTTGTTCTCTCAGTTACACAAAACAGCTGTAAGATATATTATAATTTTGCCTGATTTTTTTTATTATTTACTCAGGAGAAACTTGTCTTTATTAGGGCATTTACAGCACCGTGCAAAAGTCTTGAGTGCCTCGTTTATTGATGTTTTGCTTCCAAGGAGACAGACTTTCTAGAATTTTTATTAAGTGGTGTTACAAAGTTTCCCTTTGTCCAGCCCTCTGGCTGTTTCCTGGCTTTTATTTTGTTTTCAATGACCTACGAATGATTCAAGCATAAGAAGTCGTGCAACTCAAAGGATGAACCAATGTGTCTACACACAGAAGACAACTGACCAAAAAAACAAGTTTTAATAGTATCTTTAGCCACTTTGATACCAACAAGCTGTCATAAAAAACATAATTTATTCCAGTTTGTTATGGGTTTTTCTTTTTTTAAAATAACACATAACAGTTTGAAAGTCATAAAAATCATCAATAAGCTGATTCCCAAAGAGCTGCTAACAGAAAAGTTGGCATATCTGAGCCTGATGTGCAAAAAAATTGAGGAAACCACACAAGTGGAATGCAAAAGAAATTGCTGCAGTATCGTAAATGACCTGAGGTATGATCCATCAGCTGATCCATCTAGTGTCTACTGAAGGATCACCAGAAATGACTTGATGCATGCTTGGTGGAGCATGCAACTTCCAGATGAACTGAATCAGATTTCTCGGATTTCATCACAAATGATCTCAGTGGAAGTGTGGCTGTCAAGAAGCATTTCTTAAGGAAGGGAAGCAGGAAAGAAAGGCTGGGGCATGCCCGGCGTTTAAACATTATTGATGCAGTGTGGGCTCATCCTGACTGAAAAGGGCAGCCAAAATCCAAAAAAGGAGCTTTGAATGTCCTTCATAAAGCCCGGAGACCTGGCTGCACCTATTTCCCAATTTTCTGGCTAAATATAAAGAAATGAGGGAAGGGTGAAGACTTTTGAAAAGTAAATGGGGAGATTTACTCTTGTTTGCTGCAGTATAAGAGCAGGTTCACTCTGAGATATCTTTCTGGTTTTCATTTTACTTTGTTCATCCTCATCATTCAAAATGTCCTCAAGCATAGTTATATCCAGAAAAAAATGTAATTATGGTCTTAGTTTAAAAGCCAATTTGAGTCCAACTAAGAAAAGAAGTTTCACCATCACATGCAGCCAACAAATAAGAAGATATACAGAGATGCTTCACTGTCATCTGGCAGTGAGCACGAGGAAACCAAGTGAAGTAACAGTGAAGTGGGTGGCCTGAGGAGTAATTTAATCTTCTGATTTATGAGTCAGTGCAGAGCAGATATGTTTGTGCAAATTGGGGTTGGGAGACAACAATGTTCAGGAATTTATTGCGGACGGTGACGCTAAACACATTGAAGGAACAGATGGTTCTGTGCAGCAGGACTTTTAAATCTGCTGCAGTTCAGAAAAGACACTAATGCGACAATCAGTGCTGCAGTTGATCTCAGTTTATATTTATCTATTGATGTTAGCAGCATTTGACAGTCAAAGAGCGATTAAAAGCTCTTAAATATTAGACAGGTGATTTTTGCATTTAAAAAGGGAAATAATCAACATCAAACAAGTCTCTCTTTGTGCTGAAAAAAAATCTTCTCCTACATGTGGTAAGCTCAAACTCAACCCACTGGCAGGATTGTAAAGAGTTGTGTTTGTGTCGTCGGTATCTATTAGGTGACTGACAATGGCCTGTAGCAAAATATTTGATTTTACTGTAAAGAAGCTACACAGTCTAAATATACAACCAAATGATTTTTTTGTTTTCAGCTGCCTTTGTTTTCGAGTCGTGCGGTGCAGTTGGGATCTCTGTACGTCCGAGGGCTGAGCCACCTGCTGGGTGCTAACTGTGCCAGCGGCTGCCCGCTGCCCAGCACTGCTCTAATGCCCTGGCACAGCTTCGATGGACGGCTGTTCCACTCAAAGTACCTGCTGGCTCACAGCGGCACAGAGAAAACTGAGCTGCTGGACCACGATGTGAGTGGAGATGGGACAAGAAAAATGATGCATTTATGAATCTGTCAAGACTTCAGAGGGAGAAAAAAGTGACTTCTTATTCCAGCTAGTCTGGTTTTGCTTCTGTTTATTAATTCAAACGAATGTCTTTGGTAGTGATAAGTAAATTAATCTGTGGGTGTGTAATCTTACGTTTGTCTCTTTCTCCCAGTCGTCCAGCCTGTCTCTGTTCCTCCAGTTAAGGGAGAAACTTACAGAAACTTGCAACAAGAAAGGCAGAGTCCTGCAGTCCAGACCCAACGCACCACAGTCACGTCCTAAAACCACAACACAAACCGGATACAGACACAGACACTCGGGTGAGACACACACACTTGATACCTGCTTTTATCTGATTATCTCTGTACATGTGAATACTGGCTCGTCACTTAAAGTTTCCATTAACTCTTTCTCTTCTTTAGGACCTTTTGGTACAAAGTTTCCCTGTAAACAGTAAACACGTTGCTTAATTTGTCTGAAGCATAAAAAATGACATGAATATGCGTTCTGCATGTTCAGATGATGATGATGGTTTAAGTTGCTTTGCCTCTTTTTGTGCTGGTCTGTGGTATTAGTATTTCTTAACACTTTAGCTTTATTTGTCAGCTTTCCAAACACTTAGTCTGCTCTGAAAGCGATAATCAAAGAGTTAAAATCACACGGAAATGCGCACTTGGCCTTGTTCTGTGCTGTCATATCACAGCAAAATACAAACTGTAGAAAGTACACTGATGTTGGTAGCGCTGGCTCACAGGACAGCTGATGTGGTGTGCACATTTAAACGCGATATCCAGAAAGTCGTTCCAAAATATTTATTATGACAATGATGATTTAGTAGATTTAACAGATGAATGCATGCATGATTTTCTCAACACATTCAAATAACAACAAAAAAATTTACAATTAAGGACCAAACCAAGTCACAGTGCTTTCATGCTACTGAAAGGACTGAAGAGATTAGAATGTCAACTTACGTCACTAATGCATCCACCATAATACAGAGCTCTCGTGTAACTATTATACATTTAAGTCAGGAAATATCTATTTACATTGCATGGCAATCAGATTTAATGTTAAACAGTCTTCTTAACTTACAGGTTCTTTTGGTTAGGAGGTTAAAGGCCTACCAGGCCAAAGGGGTGGAGTTGTGCTGTGTGCTGGTGTAGAAAAGTTGATTTTAACACAAATGGAGCTTACTGTGCCTTTCCTTGTTTGTGCATCAAACATGGGATTCTACTGTCAACATACGCATAAGTAATGCCCCTGGGCTGACAGCTCATTATAAAAGAGAGCAGGTATCCTCAATATGATCATCTCATCTCTGGATGTGAGCACAAAAGCACTTTTACATCTGCTGTTTAAACCTTGTGTTAATGAGGGGCAGCCAATCAGAAGAGAGTTAGGTTAAAGGTAGAAGCGCTAAAGTGGTTTCAGTGAGAGCTGAGAAGCTACGCTGAGATACAGTACAAAATAATTTAAGGCTGTTTAAATTGCTTCTCTAGACAGTCCTGGGATAGAAATGTGGGGAAATAAATTATTGTAATAAGTCGTCGACTTTTTTTGCCCTTACCATTCACTTTGTGTGTGTTGTTTTCGTGCTGTATAATTTTGCTCCCATTTGATCCATGACTCTTTGGAAAAAGATGTTTGATCTAAAGACCATCCTAAATGAGGATCAGAAAGAGAAAACCCTTCTGACTGAATGTTACAGTGTTTCTGGTGTGCTCTGGTAACCTCGTGGTTCAGATGCATACCATTTAACCATAATGTCCTCTGTGCTATGCTGGGGACCTTTGTTGCACATCAGACCAATTTTCTTTTCATGTGTTTCCCGTATCTGCATCTACTCTGGAAACAAAACAAAAAAGAAAAGAAAAGAAAGAAGCCCCAAAAAGAGATGCCACGATGTCTCTATTATTTTTTACGCTTCAGTTGTTTTTATATTTTAAGCTAATCACTGTCCAAAAGTATCGAGTGCTGAAGAGGCCCCTAGTGATCCGATGGGTGCAATCTGTCTGCGAGCTCACATGAAAAACTAATAAAAAATCCTCCTGGAGCTGAACAGAGAAGCATCATTTTAATCTGACAGTTGATCTGCGGTTGTAGTTCTTTGGGGCCCTCATGGAACCACATTACCCAGAGGGCCATGCTGTAATGAGCTCCATGTGTGCTGCGGCCTCATCACATACCGCCGTGCTCATTTGCACGCACACACACACACACACGCTTGGATCCGAGACTTGCTTTGTCAGTGCACTAGTAATAGTGGGTTTCTGTTTATAGGCTGGGAGAGCTCTATTTTAAGACTCACAACAACTGATTACAGACTCCTCTCGTCTGTCTCTCCCCTCTTTCTGCCCCCCTTCCCCTCGGTTGTTCCCCTCTGTTTTACTTTTTCTATTCATCATCTTAACTTCTATCAGTGGGGTAATTTTCTTCCAGCTTCCAGACTCTTCAAAACCCTTTGCTGTTTCTTGAACCTTTTTACACGCCTCCTGTTTTGTCATGAAGGAGCATTAATGCATCGTTATACGACGGTCTTGACAGCAGTGTGCAGGCTGTAGGCCAACTTCACCTCTTGCCTGGAGTTTGCAGACCCCATCACAAAAGCCAACTTAGCGGGAGCTTATGAAATATGAACCCACAGTTTCTCTTCAACCCTGTGACTTATAAACCTTTTGCGACCGTTGCGCTGCATGCCATGTTGGCGCAGATCCTCCAGTTTGCGCCGAACTGTCTGCTTTCTGCCCAAGTCAACCCTTGTGGGTCTCATGAGGATGTTTCTGGTTTTATAGATGGAAGGCTATACACTCTTTATACCTCAGTGTTTCATTTCTGCCAGACACAGACACTGATCATTACTACAGAGCTGTGGGGAAATGAGTGTGAGTGTGTGTGTGTGTGTGAGCCGCAGAGAGAGCATGCATGTGCGTGAGAGTAGCGGTGGCGCTATGTGGTATCGTTGAGGACCCGGGTTTGGTTTTTGTTTGAATCAGGCCTGATGTTTAGTCTCCTCAGCAAATATCTCCTCAGCCCGCCTGCCCTCGCAATTACAGTGAATCCAGTGTAGCTCCTCTTCCACGTCTCTCCAGCTTATATCTGTTCAAAAAGACAAGATGTTGTAAACAACCTTATTTTCATGCATTCTTATCAGAGCTACACATATTCGCAATAAAATATTTACCCTAACTTCTAATGTTTCCCTTCTTTAGCTCCTCCTTTTTTCTGCAAGACATAAAACACCTTTAAAAAGATTGTGGTCCTTGTGGCCTCGCTGACGCATTACTCTCGTGCTCATGGCATGTGTTACATACTCTTTTTCTGCACCTTCACATTCAGGCACAGGATGGATGTGAAGATGGCGGTCTGATTTAGCCAAATGCGCCGCTCCCGTTTGGTAAACTCTAAAGTTGGACTTGATGTTTTATTTTGAGCACTTTGTAATTGGCATAAAACGTTCCACATCTGTCAGAGTTTCTTAAGTGTATGGCAAGTCCCAGGCTTCTGTGAATCCAACAATAGATTTTAGTGGCAGCTGAACACACCCAGAGAAACTGTTCCTGCCAGCAGATCAATTTCATAATCAGTCGTGCAGCAATAAAAAGCTGCTCCGGGGATGTTTTGTTATTTGTAAGGAAAGCTGTATAAACTCTCAGTGCGATGAAAGTATTCTGTCCTATCATAATTCGGCTGTCGACACAGTTAATGCAACCTTGATGATTGTGTGCGTCCTGCCTGAAATTTTTAATTTTTGCTGTTTTGTGGGCTGTTGTCACATAATTGTGGGAAGACTTGAAAGGCAAGATGGATATCTGTGTATGTTTGAGAGAGGACGAGACGAATGTTGATACAGTTCGAACTGATTAACATTTACATTTAAGACTGCTGATTTCAAGCATTAGTCAAAGTTATTATCATTTGCTGGTTTCAGTAAAGTCCTATCACAGACTCTAAATAAACTCTTATTAAAACACAGAATGTATATGAAAGATCGTCGTCTCTGGATCTGAAAAAAAAAGCCGTTCCCAAGGAGCTCCTCCTCTCAGTCTAATTGTTTAGAAGTCCACAAGTAAATGGCCCTCCTCCTCATGACACTTTCCTCATGAGTTTATGGTCTCAATAAACTCTTTTAAAGTATTTTTAGTACAACATGATGTTTCTTTTGTGGTCCCATTTATTTATATGTTTTATTTGAGAGTTTTTTTCTCTTTTATGTGATAGAACAGTGGAGATTAGACAGGAAAACTGGGAGAGGGGGAAGACATGCAGTCAGACTCAAAAGCTTTTGGCTGCTTTCAGCCTTGCGGTACATGCTCACCTGCTCCACCAGGTGAGTTAAGCTGGTGCCCAAATTGTCATCCTAATTTAAATAAATGTCAGGTGGCAGGTGCAGACTGGACGTCACTTTGACGGTGGCGTAAGGATAATTGTGGTCTGCTTTCAATTTGCCACAGATAGCCTTAGGATATCTGGAGAACTTGGGCTTGTCTTGTAATCTGGATAACTTTCATTCCAGGCTCAGTTGAGTTGCTTTATATCTGCCAGTATCAAAGAGAACCATGTTATTAAAAATGAAGTATCATGCTAATGTAGCTCATATAATATTCTAATAAAAATATTTTTTGTACATCTTTTGTACAGTCATGGAGTCATAAAGACTCTCTGGACCTTTCTTCACTCTTATTTTAAGCTCTCATTCATTTGCTCAAAACACACAACTTACTGATTTCTAAACTATTTTCTACACTAGACTTCCAATCACATCATTTAAGTGATTGCTTTAATCGTATAGAGACAATCTGATATGGCGATTGCCTCCCAAAACACATGGTTAGCCTGAGTGACCCAGGGTGGAGTCAGATTTCCAGCCTGCTACCATATAAGAAAGTTAGACATCAGCAGCTGAAATGTGCACCTCAGTGCTTCAAAAGAGTACATCATGTCACTGTGGGCTCATCTATTTTTTGGATACAGTCTGTGAATTATAAAATGAGGTAAACGGCAACTGTTCTCGAATTCGTCAAAACAACATAAAAGGTGATAAAATGCCAGAGTTTTGTTAATGCCCTCCAGTGACCAAGAATCACTCGAAGCAATTTAATGAATTAATAACTCGCACGTCCAAATCTCTGGACTGAATGTGTCTAAAACCTGTTTGCTGCATTTTTGGATGTTACAGAAGCACGGTGTACGGAGATTTGTGTCTTACCCTCAGGTTGGGCTCCCAGAGGTGGTACGTGTTGGAGGGAAAGAGAGGAGACGACGGGTGGCCATTGGCGTGGACGGGGACGGAGGGAGCGAGAGGAAGAAACAGAAGCTCGAAGAGAATATGAAAGCACAGACGGGCCGTGGGCGAGAGGAGGACACAGCGAAGGAGGTCGTCATTTTCACTCATTTTATCCTGACGACCACGATCGAGGAAATCAGAACACAAGACGCCCTCCGAATCCCAGAGGTCGAGCTTATAACAACAGAGGGAAATACCAGCTGGCTCCGAGGTAGCAGCAGAATATGGCACAAAAATGTCAGTTTACAGTTTCCTCTTCTCTAACTCATCTCCTCTCCTCTCAGATGGCCGCAACCTCCGGCTCCAGGAACATAACTCGACAAGGATTAGAGGGGAGGACTTTGGCAGTTAAGAGGATGGGAAAGACACGGTGAAAGAAGATGAGGAATCTAATTTCTCTGAACAAACTGCTTAGTGAATGAGCTGTCAGGAGTATTTGTCCAAAGGATGCAGGAGGTAAATGAATGGGGATTTAGAGAGGGAGGAATGAAGAGGTTTGGAATGTGTCTGACGTTTCATTTGTCAGTTTCGTCCGTCACCAGCCTCGGCTTAATCTCAGAAAAACCTGTTTTACTATTACACAAAATGAACAGCATGAAGCCATCAAACAAGCAGTAAATGAGACGCTTCCATCTTACATCTGAGAGGTGGATTAACAGGTAACCCTTGAGGCTGTTTTTATGTTTTATCTCAAACAATAAAAAGGCGAAGATCTTAAAAGCTGTTTGTGTACAGTGCCTTAATCCTTTCAAAGGAATGGGATTAACTAGAGAAACAGTAATACTGGTATCAAATATCAAATGAGATGGGACATCAGTGGCACACGGCTTCATACAGTTCAGTAATGGGATACCATAGGTGAGGTGTGAGAAACAAAGCGAGGCCACTGGAGAGCCTGTTTTTAAGACACACGCACTTCTGTTGGTTTGCTCTAATGGAGAAATATGGAAAACTCTTGGAGAAGCTTTCAGAAAGTGCGCTGTAGCAAAGCAAAGGTCTTGACAGTCGTGTGATTCTTTAATCAGATTTAAATTTCTCTTAATGCCAGCACGGTTTTCCAGTTTTAGACCTTGTGTACGTAGGATTTAACAAATGACCTGTGAACATGAACCTGCAATTTGTTCTAAAGATCTCAGGGCTGCTGGTGCTCCTCTGAGACATCACTGCACCGTGGTGAAGCTGACCTCTCAGGGCTTATTCGCACCACTTAGAAACAGCTTAAAGTTTTTTCCCACTCAGTGAGAATACCATCATCAGTACTGAGTGTGTGCAGATCAAATTGCTGTTGCATCTGTGTCTGTGTGTGTGAAGTTGTTGAGGAATGTATAGTCAGCTTGCCCACCTTCCTGTAGGACCATAATTGTTGTAAAACCCAGCAGAGAGGAAAAGGATGCAGAGAAAGTTCCCCAAGGCCTGAGTGCTCTCATTCCTGTGTGTGCGCATTCATGTGCTCATAAGCAGATCATAAAAGAAGCGTGACGTTAGTCAGTAAATGGAAACAAATAGAAGGAAATCAAAGTATAGATACAAAAGCTCAATCCATTTCATATTCAGATTACTACTGTGAACGGTGTGTTTTAAAGGAACTGACTGACGGTAATAAAGATGCGATAAATTGTGCTACCTTGTTTTAAAGCCTGTGGGACATATGGGTCAAAGATTATGTCTGCATACACAAGAAACCTTAGTTAAGGTCTTGCATGTGGGCTAGATCGGAGATGTCAAACACAAGGCCCGGGGGCCAGAACTGGCCCGGCACAGACATCAATCTGGCCCACTGAACAATATAAATCTTGTGAATTTTACTTTATTTTAGTAGGTTTTACATCTTTTCCTCCCTCATGGCCATCTTTCACTACACCAAAGAAATTAAGTAATAGATAAACGATTAAATGACAGAACAAAACCTTTTCTTTTTTTAATATCTAATGTATTTTAATGTGTGGTTTTTTTGCAATGTGTTCCAAGTTGGGGGGAAAAAAGCTATTTTCTGTGAATTAAAAACTTTCAGCTTTATAATTGCAGAACAGTCCGGGCAATGAGCTACTAGAAATAATGCTATTAATGTAATTCCACACATTCATTTCTTACAATTTTAGCCCAAGTCGTCGTACTGATTTCTTTCTTTAATACAGCTCAGTTTCTTTATCAGAAACAAAAACGGAGACATAAAGTATAAATTGCACTTCTTTATTTTAAGATATCTCTGTAGTTAAACATCCTTGCATTGATGGAGGGAGTTTCATTGGTGCGTGCGACTCATTTAAAATCAAAGTGGGCTTCGTGCGTCCACAATGTAAAACGAGTTTGACATCCCTGGAATTCAACTAAGACAACAGAAAAGAAAGAATTTGAAGAGGATTATGTATGAACCAAATCCTTCATGGCCTGCAAATAAATTTGTGCCTTCATGTATTTACAGTACTGCGATTTCTATTTTTTATTTTTGCATGTTTTACAAACTTAAGTGTCTCAGATCCATCCATCCATTTTCTTCTTCTTCTTTAATATTAGACAAAGGCAACCCAAGTAAATGCAAAATACAGTTTTTGAAATTATGATTTTATTTATTAAGGCAAAAAAAGCTATTTGAAATTTCCCTCCTTGTTAAATCTTGAATTAAATGTGATTAATCACATGTTAATGAGTTTAATTTCACGTTCAGGCCTGATTACTGACTGTTAGAGATTTTTCTACTTTATACAATATAACCAAATCTCTATAATACAATATAATCAAGTAAGCCTTATATTCTATCCAAGTAAACCTTATATTCTAACCAAACATGCCTTATATTGTATGGGAGCTGTGTTCATATATTTTCACACGGTAAAGCTTATTGTTAAAGAGAACATAATGCATTCCTTACTTAAGTGTTTAAAGATGTTTGACAAGTCATGATATACTCCTACAGTGTTATTTTCAGAATATGTGTGCAAGGTTAGATAAGCTGAGATAATGCCTGACCCCTGCTCTGACAGTTGAAAGAGGAAGTACTATGTAACCCATTTTTGCCTTATAAATAAAGCCAGAAGCCTGTACTCGGTGTGTTCTGTCTTCTCAGAGGCAGTCACCCGTGTGCACGTTCATTTGAAACTCTGAGTCGGTCTGCCAGTGTCTCATTTTCTATCCTACTTGTGTTCGTACAAATGTCAACCCCTGACACTGACAGACCTGATGAATCAAGAAATGACTTAAATAAAGCTGGAACTGTCTGACAAAGTGAAATAGGAAAAGATCTTATAAAGTAACACATGCCATGATCTAACCAAATGGCTGAGAAACAAAGTTGCTGCCATTTATCAGTCTGGACAGGTTTGCAAAACCATTCTTAAGGTTTTAGGACTCCGTGAGAGCCATTATAGTACAACCTTCTCAGGAAGGTCTAGCATACCAAAGTTACTTCAAGAGTATTGATGACTTATGCCGGACGTCACAACAGAACCCAGAACAACTGCTAAAGAACTGCAGGCCTCACTTTCCTCAGTTAGGGTCAGAGTTCATGATTCAACGATTAGAAAAAGACCGGGAAACATTGGCATCCATGGGAAAACCACTGCTGACCAAAAAGGACATAAAGGAAATGAAAATATTTGGTGGAGTTATGTTGGGGTATGCAGCATCACATCTTGGACTTAAATCCAGTTGGGATGCTTTGGCATGACCTGAAACAGGCCGTTTCAGCGTGGCTGAATTAAAACAACTCCTGAAAGACTAGTGGGCCAAAATTCTTCCACTGTTATTTCCATATGGGCACAAACTGATGCTGTAAGACAACACAGATAGTTTTAATCAGGGAGCTGGCAGGTTCAGTGTTGTCTGATCTGACTGCATCAGACGTTTGCTGTCTCCATTCAGAGCTGCATGTGCGAAAACAGGTTTTGTGGAAAGCTATGAAGCTGTGGAGAGCTATGTTACTGATTTAAAACTGTTTCATCCAGTTGTGTATTTGTGGATTATGATCGGAACATAAACATGACTTGGGAGCCTTTTCATGGTTTTGATGTGGCACTATCCTGTGTTTAAAAGATAATCGTGTGATCTAGTTGTTTGAGTTTTGATGGGTCAAAGGGGCAGGGTAGAGGTACCGATCAATGGCCAGCGTTCGTTGCAGTCATACCAAGCGGGGTGTGACTGCACCATCCGCTCCCTGTCTTTCGTCTCAGGCCAGTGGCAGCAGAAGAAACAACAAAGCGTGTGGGTGTTTTGGGGTTAGTAGCTGCGGTGAGTTGAGTGGGTGTGGGTGTGTGTGTTAGGAGGAGGCCAAGGGTGGGGCACGCAGCATGCATGCATAACTCGGATCCAGTCACCCCTTCTAGATAATAACAATAACAGGAGGAGGGATGTTTTCTGTGGTGAAGAGGAAGTGAGGAATGGAAGGTTAAAGAGAGAGGAAGAGGGGAAGAAAAAATGGCAGAGGGATCTGGAGAAGTTTAAAGGAGGAGTAAACACTGAGAAAGATGAGAAGCGAAGGAAACGCGGCAGGGTAATGGGGTGATGGCTAAGAATAGATAAAACAACAGAAAAACAGGATGAGGGGAAAAGGAGAGGAAGGGGGAAAACACAAGCAGTGTGAGCAGTGCTAGTCTTCCCTCAACCGAAGGAAAACCTGTTGGCTGCCCGACAGAAGTGCTTCCTGTTTGTGTGTGTGTGTATGTGAGTGTGTGTGGTAGAGGTCTGGGCGTGGTCCTTCCAGTAGCAGTGAGACAAATAGACAGTCAAACCTCCTTTTTTGAGGCCTCCTCCCTCAGATGGGCTCAGGCCTCTTTCCTCTCTGGTGGCGTTCATTCTATGGGCTGTCTGCTCTTTTTGTGTCGCACACTTTCTCTCTTATCTAAACTTTCTGAGGCTTTCTACCCACTACAGTCATCAAACCAGGCGCCCGCTTATGCAGCCCAGTTGGACAAAGAAGGGTTTTGATTTAAACCCTTGTGGCATTCATATGTGGACACAGTGGCCTGGACCTAAATGGATATGGGGATCACAAAACCACCTCAACATAAGCAGAGAGCTCAAAGGTTTCAATTATGTGAATGGTACACTCGGCCAAAGGCAGGTGTAACAAGGTAATGCTCTTCAGTGTGTAGGATAAAAGCAATTGATTGTTATCTCTGTTTTTGTCAACGTTTGCACAGGTCCATGCTGATAAAATTCAAAATAAATGCTTCAGTTACAACATAAAGTTGACATTTTTCAGCCTAAAGGTCATCTTTAACATGTTACACACTCCAGCAACAACTGCTGTGTCATGGCATGAAATCAATAAATCATCAGTGTTATTGATGATTTACTAGTTTCATTTGTGATTATGCAGCTCTCAGATGCCAGCATTGTTCTGTCTCCACACTACAGTCCATGCATGTGTTAAACTGCAGGCTAGTGGGTCAAATCTAGCCCTTCCCAAGTTTTAATCTGGTTTGTATCCCATTTTGGGTTCTCAATAAATTTTTGTAACTGTGTTCTACTGAGCAACACACACCCCGTGCAAATGCCAGACTAACTAATGCAGCAAAAAGGAAAGTGGAGGTTGAAGGCTGTCAGTTTAAAGGGAGGGCGGAGCCTGTGAGTAGCCAACATCTTTAATGAGAGTAAAAAGGTCCATGCATCAATTTTTAGGCGCATGAAACCTGCTCAGCCAAGACTTGTGCAAATATGTAGAATTTTTTTTTTTTTAACATTTGTTTTTATTTAGGCTTCTGAAGCAAGTTGTTGTCTGTTGG